GAGGAGATTGAAGTATGTCTTCCAAGCATAAAAATTTGCCTCTTTGTGGGAGAGGATGACCGGGACGCGACGTTCGATGGGGACATCACGGATGTAGGCAGGATCGGGAAGTGGCGGCAGAGGAGCCGGCGGAGGAGTCGAAGGGGTTCGACGGCTTCACTACCAGAGGAGTGGAGGCGGCGGACCGGTCGAAAAGATCGAAACCCGACATGGCAGCGGCTAGGGTTAGGTGCGGCCGGGGCGGGTTAGGGTTTATGGTGGATGCGAGGTGGCGAGGGTAGATGGCAGCGGGGTAGCGGAGGGTTAGGGTTTGGGAGGCGGTCGGCTAGTGGCGAGAGGGCTGGCGTCTAGCGACGGCCTGGGAGGGAGATCGTGAGAGGGGCGGCGGCAGGGAGCCAGCGGCGCGTGGGGGGAAGCTACGGCGGCAGCGAGAGAACTCGGCGACGCGGGCGTAGCGAGGAAGCGGCGGCGGCTTGGAGGCAACGGTGACGCGCTAGGGTAGGAGGGATCGGACTAAAGCTAATACCATGCAGAAGATTATGCAACTCATGATATATTCATCGGGTGCAATATGCCCCAGTCCGATATAGAGAGTGTGAGCGTGAACAGAGCACTAGAGCGGAGCTGCGAGTGGGTGGATTTGGGCGGCGGCTTGGGGCGTGGTGCCTCGGGCGCGGGGATGCTCGCTGGCTTGGCTGCGGCGTCCCGTGGCTGGCGGCACTGGTGTGGAGGCTGGGGCGCGCGCGGCTGGCCGGGTGACACGCCGTGCGCGGCCGGTGCAGACCCTGCTGCCCGTGTTGCTCCAGATCTGGCGAGCGGCGGCATTTCTCTTGCATCCCTCCCCTCGTTCGCGACTGTGCCGTGCTGCTCCTTATGGCAAGCTCTTGTTTTGGCCTGTCTTGCTTGTACGGGGAAGGGGAGGTGGAGGGAGTCCCAAGATCCACGATGACGGGCTCTGCTCCTTTTCGTGGTAAGTTGGGGGGTCTAGTTCACCCAAATTCCTCGAGAGTGTCTCCGGGCGAATGCCCAAGATCTTGCTTTGCTAGATCGGACGACGACGCCGTCAGGTTCGTCGCTACCTTCTTGGAGGCGTCGTCTTAAAGACCATGGCTATTGGTGGTATCCGACGGCTTGCGTGGGTGGCGGTTGTCGGTGGGGTGTGATTGATGTTGATGGTGTTGCGGACGGCTTGGGTTCGACGGTGGGTTTGTGTCTTCGGCGATGTTCGTGCTCGAGTGCTGCTTGGTGTGTCTTTGCTAGGCGGTGCCCTGCGATTTCGCTGGTGGCACACAGGTGCCGTGGCGTCGTCTCGGCCTCGCGTGTCCTTTCGAATGTACCCCCGACACAGGTGGTGTTGTGGCGTTGTGCAGTTTCGGATGCGCGGTGCCTTTCGATTGCGTCGACGGTGCAATGCCGTGGTTTGGTCTGCTTGGTGATGCCGCTCGCCGACGCCGATGGCATACAGGTGGCGTGTCGTCGTCTCGGCCTCGTGTGACCCTTCGAATGTGCCCCGTGACGCAGGTGGTGTCGCGGCGTTGTACAGTCTCGGTTGTGTGGAGCCTTTCGGTTACGTCGATGGTACAGTGTCTTGGTTTAGTCTCGGTTGGCCGTTCGATTACACCGGTGGTGCTCTTTGTTGTGTTGTGTTTCCCTCCTTGTTCTCCCCTGTTGTGTGTGGCGTCCTGTGTCTCGTCGGTGTGTTGTGTTGTTTTATTTTATCTCTCCTTCCTTGTATCCCCTGTACCTCTGGTTCACTTGAACCTATCTTGCGACAGGCTGCAAAGCCTTATAGGCAAATGAATACAATAATTCAAAAAAAAAACATAAACTGCTCACAACATCACGCAAAATGTATTAGGTTGTGGTGTAGGAGGTCATGTCTGCTTCCTAACATCTTCAAACTTTGTGAATGTAAATGCTGCTATCAATCATGAATTACAAAAAAAGCACGATATTGTTAAACATATATATAATGCAGATCATCTTTGATGGCAAGGCTATGCAAATGTTCAACCATCATTCAGACATTTAGTCGTCACATCAGGCATCAAGAATTTCTTCAGACATTAAACTGCTACAGCATTAACGGGATAACATCTACTATCAACTCCTCACAGGAAGAGAATATCCTGATAAAAATTGTTCTTAACAGCTGACTGAGAAAAATCAAATTAATGGCACACATACGCCATAGAAGGTACAATAGCATAGATGTTTTGCCTCATTTATTTCACATGGAATAGAAAGCGCAAAATATTGTATTACGAAATGGGGAGACTGGATATATTTACATGGACTGCGGACAGAATAATGGATAGAGTAAAACTCGAGTGATAAGGAGGATCTGCTATGGCGTAACATTGATTCTGCTAAAAGCTCAGAACTTTGTGCCCAGTGAACAAGAAAGAATTGGTCAGTAAAGTAAAGGATAGTAAAGAAAGACATGTGCACAGGAAAAACCACAACATCACAGCAAAAATGGACTCCACCGCCATCAAGTTACCTGAAAATTAATGTTGATGCAGCTTTTAAGGAAGAAGATCACACAGGAGGCTGGGGCTACATCATTCGCAATCCAGAGGGGTTTGCAGAGGCAGCAAGAGCGGGGAGGTTGACGCATATCATGGATGCTCTCCATGCAGAAAGCCTAGCCCTCATCGGAGCAATTGAAAGAGCAAGTGACTTGGGGTGTCAAAATGTCATTTCTGAAACTGATTCCCATGTGCTGCAACAAGCAATCTCCACTGAAGAGTATGATGCTTCCCGTTGTGGTGCTGTATTCATGAAGGCAAGAAGACTTTTATGGTTGTATTTTAATGATGTAAAAATTGTGTGGATTCCAAGAGTCTGTAACTACGTAGCCCATGTTTTAGCGTCTCATGGCGCCGGTTTGGAGTCGGGAAACCAGGTTCACTGGCTCCACGATGTCCCAGACTTTGTAAATTCTGCAGTTACCAGCGATTTAGCTGGCCTGCCTGAGTAATATATTGTCTGTGTTTTGTTTGTTTTCGAAAAAAAAGTAAAGGATAGTTAAAGAGTTCTGGAAGAAGTTTGTGTAAACACACGTACCATAAAGGAAGACTGGCTCCACTCTCGAGATGCATGAGAACCGATTGCCTCTTTCCAAGGGCTGCTTTAAATCCTCCATCTTATGACAGTGTTTAATCTGTACATTCTGTATTTCTGAAATTGCGTTTTCTCCTCCAATTGATACAATGTCTGGACAATATGAAATCGATAAATTCTCAAGTGATGTGAGACTAGTGCTCCAAAGCCTGCCTGGAATGGATGTTATGTGCCGACATGCATCAATCCTCAATGTAACAAGGGATGTAAGGTTTTGTAGGCAGCTGGGAACCCATGCAGAGATATTCCCGCATTTATATAAGGTGAGTCTTTGGAGGGAAGATGGTAACAGAAATCCCTTCTTCCAGCTGAGTCTACTGCAATCAGAGATCTCCAAATCCTTCAGATAAGAAAAATTCCCAAACCTTTCACCCTGCAAGGACTTTAATCTGCCACAAGATCTGATACAAACTCTCTCAATGGCAGGTAGATATTCTTCTGATAGGAGATCATCAATGGTTGACAGCTTGTAACACCGCTCAATTGTTAGTGAAGTAAGATATGGGAATGCTCTAGATCCACCAGTGTTTCTGATGACCTGTCCAGATTGTCCAATGATAGATTCAAGAAATCGACAATGTGAAATATTCAACTCCTTCAATGCTGGAAGATTCCACATTTCTAGTTGGATGGATGTGAGATGGTTGCTTGACAAAAAAAAGTATGTGAGGGTGCAACAGTCTATATTGTCTCCGAGATTGCCACAACTAGGGTCATCATAACTAAAATCACTCTCCTTACCCAGCACAAGCCTCTTGAGAGAAGGTGCAACCAAAATTTGCACAGATATATTTGGACATCCTTGCACCTTCAATTCTTCAAGGCAACATAGATCCCCAAATCTTTCAGCTGGTACTGAAACTAAGTTGTTGCAATCTTTAATTGTGATTTTCTTGATTGTCGTTGCATGTACAACATGTTCGAGGCATGATAAATTTTGGCAATTATCAATGAGTAGGTCCGACAGGGATGAGAAAATACCAGTAATATCATTAATGTTGTTAGTAAGCACCTCCGGTATCTCACTTGGGTTTATACGCTCTGGGTTAGTGGATGCCAATGAGCTCTCAAGTCCACAACTGATAAATAAAGGTGACCTTAAGCTTGGCGAAATCTCAGTCGGCAACCACCCTGGAAGCAACACACCTGGATAACCACGGAGGAGCAGAGACTTGAGGCAGGTGGGAGGTTGTAGAACTCGAAGGACGTCTATACTGTCTTCCGGAGAACTCCACAGAGGCCATGACCATGACAGTTTCAGAATCTTAAGATACTTCTTATTCTGTAGTTGGGCTTCTGCAGCATGCTCCTTACTTAGCTTGTCAATATTATATATATCCAATTCACCGACTTGGTTAATATTCTTCATCAACCTAAATCCTCGTTCCTGTACATCATTGGCTGCATCAACACTCACTTCAAAATAAAGTTCTTCAGGGCAACTTCTCAACACTGAACTACATTGAAATCCATACGATTCAAATCTCTGTAAGCATATCAGATTACTAAAGTCACTAGGCAAGCTTTCTAGCTTGCATTCCTGAACACTTAAAATCTGCAGATTATACAGCCGACAGAACTCAGCGGGAAGACTCTTGAAATGTGAAGCTCTCAAGATTTGAAGGTACCGAAGATGCTTCAAGTTTCCAATAGCAGCTGGTAACTCATTAGTAGCAACGCAAACAATCACACGTAGACACAGAAGTTCACTCCACCATTTTTCCAAAATGCTAGTTGGAATATTTTTATTTGCTAAAGGCTTGTCAAAAAGAAGCGTACGAAGCTTTCTGAAGTGGCATAGCCTCAACAAGCTGGCATTTTCAATGTCTGTGCTAGAGAGTATTGACAAATGGCGAACATTAGGAGGAATATCTTTAAAAGTCACTCTTTCTTTTCATGATGAAGCACTCATGCTCTGAAACTTTCTGTGCCATGTCATGCAGCAAGTCATGAATTAAGTATCCACCTTGTACTTCTTGAAAGAAGGACCGATTTAAAAGGTCATTGAAGTATTCACATCCAATATCTTGAAGTGGAGTATCACCACGAGGTTCAACAAAGCCTTCTGCCACCCAAATTTCAGCTAAATGGTCCTTCCGAAATTTGTAATCTTTGGGATACACTGCACAAAATGAGAAGCACCTCTTCAAATGAAATGGTAAATACATGTAGCTCAACCGAAGGGCTGGCAAGATTTCAGTCTCTTCCTGGCTCAACTTCCACAATTCACTCTCTAGTACATCATTCCAATGTACTACTTGAAGGTTCATTCTTAATATTCGTCCAAGAGTTTTGGCGGCTAAAGGAGAACCCTTCAACTTAGGAACTATCCTTCTACCAATGCTTTCCAAATTATTATTATTGGAACTCCCAGATTCAAAAACACATAATTTGAAAAAATTCCAAAAAACATCATCCTTTAAACCTTCCAATGTAATGCGATCCATCGTGCCCACTCTGTCAGCAACCTGTGGACTTCTAGTAGTGACCAACATCATACTTCCCGGTAGTACATTCTTTAAAGGTGCACAAAACCTGTTCCAGCACTGCCCATTTTCCTTCAAAACATCATCCCACATATCATCCAGAACAATCAATAACTTTTTAGTTCTTGCAATCTCAGAAAAGTTCTTCTGAAGCAAATTCAAATTTTCAGTTGTTGCATATTTTTCAGGACAAGACTGTATGACCTCTTTAGTTAACCTCTTCACGTCAAAGTCATCTGAGACGCAAACCCAAATTATTATGTCAAAATGAGACTCCACTTGTTTATGACTACATATATGTTGAGCCAGAGTGGTCTTTCCAACACCCCCAATTCCAACTATGGGTAAAACAGGAAGATCTGATATTCTTGATTCATTACCAATTTGGTTTCTTGCTGATGTACTTGTTGATACATCAACTGCAGTATTTCCTTTTTGGCGTTTGGGATGAGCATCACTACTATTTATTGGTGCACAAAGCAATTCAATTATATGCTTTAGCTCCATGTCACGACCAAAGATTTTTGTTTCATTTGGGAAAGAGCTAGTCTCTGGCCTGACTGATTTGTCAAACCGTGTTGTGACTTCATGTAACCCCATACTACGAAGGTGAATGGAAATATTATCCAGCCTTTCCCGCATAGCAACCACTTTGATAAAGCTTCCTTTAACAACATTATTGAAGAAGTCCATGAAAGGAGATTGGCTTCCATTTCCGTCCACTTTTACCTTCAACATGTACCATCTGAACTCATCAAGAAGGTCATCAGCATCATACACTGCATCTTTGAGTGTTGAAAGGAGCTCTGCCACACGAGGATTGTGGATCTTCCACTCTGCTCGATCAATGAGATCATACATGGCGGGAAGAGTATCCCTAAGGCATTGTAGGCCATTCCCCAATCGAAACAATTCCTCATGAAGCCTCTGCTCTTGTGTACCACTCCACTGGGAGGAAATGGTAGATCTAGCCCACTGAAAAAGATTATCACACTCCTTGAAGCCACTAATAACCCCAACAGTATCCATAGTACCCATGGTGACTGGAGTATGGAGCCTTTCTTCCGACCTGTTGACAAAATATGGAGAAAATGAGCATAGCTGGATGTTTCTCCACATATTGCTTCTTACAGAAAAGCATGGTTGTGCAGTTAGCTTTCGAACCATAGTTTACATGTGTGCTTTATCGCCTAGTTCGGAAAGTGTAATGAATCTTGGAGTGTGTTTTAAATAAGACATTGATAATCAACGCATCTTTTACCAATAAAATTTGCACTTGTAAAACACAAAATGATATGTAAACACATAATTACACAAACATTTAACCAACTAAAATATTCTCTTCTCATAGCTGGATGATGTGTACTACCAGACTAACCGACACTGAAGCATGTGTTCCCTGAATTTGGAACGAACATACTGAAATAAAAATGGATGTCATTCTGGGTTGATAGTCTAAGTTTGATTTAGTTAACCTCAAAATGTATGTTTATAAAAGAGGTACTATATTAATGTAGGTCCTTGCACCAATAGTGCATTTGTAGTTTGATATGATGAGTGTCGCATATCTATTATTACTATACTAATTACAAACTCTAGAAATTCCACCATTAACCGGAGAAAAATAAAAAAAGCTTAGCCCTCCAACTTGTGAGACCGAGTTATAATGGCTTGCATTAAAAATAATAATCATTAGGCACAACTTGTATCGAGTAGAAGCTTCTACCTATTGATATCTACCCAAATATTTACTCCCAAATTTGGAAGATAAGCAAGCAGTGTGTTTGAGTATTGGCCGGTATAACCATGCAAAGAGCACATCATCACAATCATAAACTTGGAACGCTAGACAAGATGGTATCACTCGCCATGCAACTTGCTTTGCATTGCGTTGTGACTACTACAATAGATGATACTGAGGCCTCACTCGCCATTGCCGGTACAAGATGGTCACCACCACCATTTTGAGACATGATACTCAAGCAATAAAGCAGACATATGCTGGTCGATCAAATGATCAGATCTACTACCTACTGGCAAAACACGAGAGAGGATACAAACTAGCTTATATTAGCTGCAGTGGACCCCAGCGGTAGATGAAACTAGGGTCTCGCTAAATATTATCAATATCAGACAACACAGCCAACATTAGCATGATATGTCATATGTTAAATTGTGTGGTGGTAGAGGCATTTCCGAGTAATACGCACGAGTTCGTTGATGTCGGGACTAAGAGAGTGCATACGTATTGGTTTCTGTTGCGACGCTTGAGGCATAGCTGAGAGTAATACTCCATGGACACACCGAAGGAATCAGAGAACTCTTCAAACCGTCAATGTCGTTCGTGACAACTGCATGGCTTCACCGACAGAGACCTAAAACTCCATACACTGATTATTACGTTTGACTATTACTCCCAGGTGTACGCATTAGCAAATTCCGAATTTAGAGGCAGTACTTGATGCACGTCCCATCAAAAGCCCAAAACGTTAGCGAGGATGACAACATAATTAAAGCTTGTTTGGAAGAGGACAATTGTTTGGTAATGTTTACCATTTAGGTCAAATTTGAACTAAATACCGGAACTTCACAAAGAATGTTATTCTTTCAAACAGCCCCTTACCCGCTGCTTGGATTGAGTGTAATTTTGTGTGATCACCGGTATTTACCTCAGTTTTGGTTGCATATTCTTTGATCACCAAGAGTTGCTGCATGCCAGACCTTTTGATCTGCTTCTGTGAAGTTAACCTGGACATTAACACCCATCCTGTCCTACTTGTGTCTTGTACTTGGATCCTATTTCTCATGTTCCACTGCATTTTGTTCTTTTTCCCAACGAAAATTTGAAATTAATGGAAGAAGTGACATGTTATATTTACTATGAATGCACGAGTCCATATAATATCCAACATTTCGCCTTCAGACCTGAAACACATTTCTCATGCATCACGTGAGATGTATCTTTAAGTGAGGTTTCCTGATTCCTTTTCTCTTTTTTTATTAAAAAAAGCTAATGAGGTTTTCCGGATTATGGTCTCTATGGCTATCTCAAGTTGCAGGAGCTGGCTTTACCTAATACCATTGTCTACACAACTTAGAGACGCCGTGTTATTACCAATATTTCTTCTAGTCTTCCACCTGACATTGCCTAAAGACTAAACGAAGTTCTGTTTTGGATGTTTTTGCCCTTCTTTTCCTTCTTACGACAGTTCCAAATTTCTGTCGTCATCAGCATTATTTGATTTTAAAAAAATATGAAGTGGAAAATGATGGTTGCGTGATATATTTATGCATTACTTGTACTTTCTCTCTTCTCTTTTGGGTTCTCTTCTTTTTGGTTTCATTTTTAGCGTACCCCAACTTGCTTCAGACAAAAGGCTTTGTTGTTGTTGTAATAGGGTAAGGCCTAGAAAATCAATATCATAATAATTAAACCCAGGGATGCCATAAAATAACCTCAACCTCAAAAAACTATTGCTCGATAAGCTACATTGTACTCCCTCCCCCAGGAATTTTTTGTCGCTGAAACAGATGTATCTAGCACTGAAATACTTGAGGTACATATATTTTAGCGACAACTAATTCCAGACCGAGGTAGTACTTAATAAGAACATACTACAATTAACTAAATTTTTCAAATAATGTGCTTACTAGCAGTACTAAATATTAAAGCATTCACATTTAGATTCTTACTTGGATGTTCTGCACTAATGGTGCCAAATATGCATGTGTTTGCAGTGCTATACATAAGGTATGTTTTTAGAGTGTTATCCTATTTTGGTTATGGGGTGTGCACATTCTTTCACCCTAAAAATTGTTACTCCATTTGTTTGAAAATTAATCATGCTTTAGAGAGCATGTACAATTATTCAGATTTGTTACATAAGTAGTATGAACACATTTTGATGTAAAGTAGCTTCACAATTCAATTTTTATTGCAATTTTTTACTTATTTGTGTAAAGATATAATGGTCAAACTTGCGCAAATTAGATGTTAAATGTGAAAAATGCCATTAACTTCCAAACAGACAGAGTGAAGAATCAAAGATGTTGACTAGAGAGGGTGAACATATGACTGCAAATAATTGTTTATTAGTTGCTTTTAGAGATTGCAAAATTACCTAAAATGTGCAACTCAATGAATCACCCTACATGACAAGATGCAACTAGCACAATAAAACCACAAGATAATCAAGCTATCAACACTAAGGCAATGTAGAAGCTCGGGAATGAAATAGCCATAAGATGGAGACGAAGTTTTTATCTCGTAGTCCAGTCCCTTGGAAGGGGTGCTAATATCTGTTGGAAAGGCGGAGGGCAACAAAGCACCTCACAAGACTAAGTCTCGCCATTCTTCTCCTAGAGCCTCGGCCAACAAATCTGAGGTATATCACTAATGGTTGACCTTGAGCTGGTAACAAACTTTCTTGGAGCACAAATCCACAACTTGGAAGCTTCCGGGTGAGACTAGCGTGCCAGGGAATGCCAAGGCTCCTAAGAGTAACAAGTATGTGATGGACTCATGGGGTATTCAAGTTTGGCTTGGTGGAATCATAGATCTTAGGCTCCTGTTTCATTTCCCTCAAAGGCACGAAGGCTTTAGACATTAGAGAACTAGGGGAGGAGCTTATCAAGCTTTGGAGATTCAGAAATGGTGAGAAGAGAGAATTCTTACAATAGTATAGCATGAAGAGCGACTTACCTTGAAGGTGGAAACCTGCAGTTATAGTTTTTTGAGACATGACAGAGTTTTGCACATGATGCATGGCACATGCTAGTATGACAACATTAAGTAATACTACTCCCTCCATTCCTAAATATTTGTCTTTCTAGATATTTCAACAAGTGACTACATACGAAGCAAAATGAGTGAATCTACTCTCTAAAATATGTCTACATACATATGTATGTGGTAGTCTATTTGAAATATCTAGAAAGGCAAATATTTAGGAACGGAGGGAGTAGTATTTACCGATGCTTTACACAATTGCTAAGGCCTCTTAGATATCCATGAATTTTATGTGGATCGACTACTTTTTACTAATAAGAAGTTATTTCAGCATAGGAATTTGAAAAAATCATGAGGTCAACACTCTGGATGCTGCGACTGATCCTCTTAAATCAACAAGATGAGTAGTTATTTGTTTATAAAATCTAGTTCCATGAAATATCACAGGGAAAATTTGGTTTGCAAAAAGAAAAATATATTTGAGTTCCTCTGGCTGTAGCCATCATCAAGGATGTTGTCCTCGCTTGTCTGGGTCACATCTTGAGGCTCCCAAATAGCTCTATTTGCGTCAAATGACAAGTCTAATGTGGGCAAAATCACACAATACATACTCTTTGATAAGGAAATGGGGGTAGATATAATATGTTTACCTCATGATAGGCTCGTGTTCGTAAATCATGGGCTCAACCGTGTCACTTTCATGCATCGATCTATCATCCTCTCCCACCTCACCAGGTGTGAATTCAACCGTAGTGGGACCACCATGAACTCCCATCGAAGCTGAGGAGATCGCAAATATATCACAACCTTTTAGATACGTTATTTCTTTATGTCATTGCAATACATCACAAACCACCGAAAATAGTCAATTCCTCACTCTTCCAAGATCAATATAACAAAGTACTCCCGCTGTTCCAAATTAATTGATGTGCTAGGTTTGTCCTAAGATATACAACACCGAACACACAGTACAAAAATATATTTTATAAAGAATCTCATGAGACTAATTTGCTGTTCTAAATGTTAATATAGTTTCTATATATTTCGTCGAACTTAAAGAAGTATGACTTAGGGCAAAGCTGGAACTGAGGGTGAACTTGGTTTTTAATGCATTTCAAATATTTAACTTCAAAATATAAAACCTGAAAATGTACAACTTATGGTATTTTCATTTAGAAATTCATATTGTCAGAAATTCACTTGTTTTATTCAGAATCTGGAACCAAATTATTAGAATTTTGAATGCCACAACTCTGATTGCTAAAAAAGTATTGTGTACCCACACATTTTTGTTGTTGATTTTCATGCATGTCTGCATTTCGAGCACATCTAATAATTATGTAGAACAACCCTCTACACTCTTTACTTTCTTTGAATATACACATGTGGATTGAATTCTATGTTCACCGAAAATATGTGCTTCTTTTGGCATGTGAATCCCCACCGAAACTTGGTTGCCTCATACTATTCAGGATTAGGCATCCTTAGGTCCCCAAACATTCTTCATAACTGATGAGAGTTTGATCCATAGTGAAATTTCAAAACTTCTCTAAAAAAGGGCAGCCCCAGTGCATGTAGCTCCTTGCGCAGGGTCTGGGGAAAGGTCCGACCACTTTGGGTCTATTGTACGCAGCCTTTCCCTACATTTCTGCAAGAGGCTGTTTCCAGGACTTGAACCCGTGACCTCATGGTCACAAGGCAGCAATTTCAAAACTTCTCTATACAAACAAAATCTTGTTTAAAACGAGATGCTTACATGAGGAAGTCGTGTATTCATTGTAGGCCAAGGCCCCCGTGCTTTGTAAATTAGTGGTCTACAAACAACAAAATTGTAGAGCTTTAGTCCATTTTTGTGGGGACCACTCCTATAGCAGTATTTGAAAATATTAAGAGCAATATGTACGACACTTCGGACAACGATATTTTTATGATGGTGATCTGCATCACACCGGTTGCATTAAGGAAAGCAACCAATGGGCTGATTTCATCCATCGTAACAAAATAGTACATGGAGTGATGTGCATGCAGCAAAACTCTGAAAAATTTGTAGTCATTTACACCAACAGTTTATTAAGAGATACATGAATCAGATTTCAATGATCAGTTGATTGGAATTTAGTACACGAAACAACTGCTAGCGCACCAGCTACAAAATATTTAATAAGAGATGTACACTAATATTTTGGCATTTTTAATACTATGTAGTTGGGTTTACTAGTTGATATATTTTTATGGGCCAAGATAACAATAGACGATTAGTCATATGAGAAAATTTTATGCTGAACTATTAGTACAAATCCAACTATCTACTTACTTACAGATATAAATACCATAACACCCTAATATCAAATACAATATGCAAAAGCAATATGGTCAAAAGTGATTTTAAACCAGGGTAGTTCTAACTTTTTCTTCAAAAAGACCGTTAGAAAAAAACTGTTTTTAAAAAAGTAAAAAAACACTTCTCTTTCAATACCTCGCACTTAAGTGACAACTTCTCAACATCAATCCTACTAAGTACATCAACAACTTGGCTTATAGTAGGCCTTTCCTCTCGATCATGCTTAATACATCTTAACGCTATTTCGATGCATGTCTTAACTTCTTGTGATATGTGTGACCACGTCGTTGCATGTACCCTTTTTTGCCACATTTCACATACCTGCAAAATTAAAATGAAATCTCGACGTGTTATGTTGGACATGTTACATACCTACAGAGCAACAGTAAGACATAAACATAACTTTGTATGAAAAAATAAGTACTCATGATTCACAAATTGTTTTCTTACAAACTTGATGAATTCAAAGGAAGCGGTATCTTTATATTCATAGTAGCCCCTGAATCCTGCCATTATTATTACGATTATAACACCCAAACTGAATACATCATATTTCGGTGAGATTTGGTGTCCGATTATGTGTTCTGGTGGTATGTACCCCCTGCATGGTATCAAATACAATTACTCTGTAAGGAAACTGTATAAGTTGAATACTTCTCATCAGGTATGAACTCACAATGTTCCAAAATTTGTCGCTGTGGTGCAGGTTTCTGCTGAAGGAAAGAATCTTGATAAACCAAAATCGTCAATTTTCGGCATCATGTTGTTATCCAGCAATATATTTCCAGGCTTCAAGTCAAAATGGAAAATGGAGTCCTTATGAAGGTGATTTAAACCTTCAGAGACTCCCTTAATTATTTTGTAGCACATGTCCCAATCAAGTTTGCATGGTTCGTCTGCACAAGTAAACATGACACATATTACCAAGATGCCAGTGAAGAGACTAACTAAAATAGATCATAAATCTAGGGGAATAAGCATTTTGCTGTGTGCATCATAATATTGTCTAAGTAAAGCACGATCTTACCAGAGACATGTTTGTCAAGGCTTCCACCCTGCAAGTATTCAAAGCAGAGAACTCGTTCATCCACCTCAGCCCAAACGTATTTTCCACCGTGTTCCACATATTCACGACGTGTTTCATGACAGTAGCCAACTAACCGCACGATATTTTGATGTTGGACCCCCATAAGGTTTGTACACTCATTCTCAAATTGTTTATTGCTGTCATGTTCTGGAGGCATGTATTTAAGCTTCTTCACAGCAATCTCTTTCCCATTGTCCAATACTCCCTGTAAATGATCTCTTATCAATATCGCGCATGGGAACTAGCGGGCATCTTGTTTGAGAAAATATAATTCCCAAATAAAAAGAAGCAAGTAACAATGATACCTTGTAAACCACTCCATACGCACCACGACCAATTATGTGCTCCTCCGAAAAATTATTAGTGATCTGTTTTAACATCTCGAACGAGAACGGCGATGTCACCCCACTTGTGTGTTGTAATCGGCTCAACATTGTATTCTCTATCTCCTAGTACCACAGAAAATTTCAAGATATGTTAAGTGCATGTGTACGCATATGCATAAGGGGTAAGTAGTGTCATAAATGCAAAGTTAGGGAGTAAAATGTGATAAATTTCTCAAATGTAGTAAGTAGCATCAAAAACTCAAAAAGGGTCAGTAGTGTCTCGAATGTGAAAAAGTGACAACAACATTTTAATTGGGGTCAGTGGTGTGATAAGTATTTTAGGGGTGAAAACTGTCACTTACTCTAACCTTTACAAAGCAGATATATGTATTATCGAAAGACGACAAATAATTGGCATGTCGCTGTAGCTTCAAATTGAAGAGATTCTTCAGCAGTTCACACAGATCTAGCATCAAGCTAATAATTAAGAACATGGTGAAACTGTACCACTAGTCCGCAACAATGAGCATGGTATACTGATGAGTGGCCCGCTCGGTGACATCAAAAAACAAGTTGGTAAATCGACTAAATAGAAACTAATGAAGCAACCAAACAAAAAAAGGCAGGCCGCTTTCTCATGTATAGCCGAAGGAAGAGCTTGCCTGCCTGGAGTGAGCTGCGCTGAAGGTGGAAGAAGAGTCCGACCAAGGGAGCAGAGGGGGCGCTCAGGAGGATATGTGCCCAAAAACTCAGATCCAGCTGGTGCCCACAGATCTGGGCTCACCAGATGGCGTCCAGAGTTCGGTATTCATCTAGAGTGGAGAGAGAGTCGGCAAAAGCAACTTCCGCTCGCTCATCTCCTTCCCGTCGCCGCCAAGAAACCTCACCGTGCGCTCGGCGGTGGCCCGTCTAGCTGCGCGTGGTCAGAGAGAGGAGCTCGACGGGACGGAGAGGAGGAGGCCCGGTGGCTCGCGCCGCCGGCCCGAGCGTCGGGTCGAGGCAGAGCTAGCAGGGAGAGAGAGCGCGCGCGCGGATGGGGTCAACCGGTCAAAGGCGAACGGCGGCGGAGTGGTGTGGGTGGGGGAATCTCGCGGGAGTGAGTCACCTTTTTTATGCAGGTAGCCGCCAAGGACAGCTCACCTTTGCTCCTCAATCTTTTTCTCTCGGATGCTTATTCAAAAATACACCCTCTGTAAACAAATGTTACTGGAAACAGACAGGCGCTTTGCTGCGTCATTATAGTTGTACTAGAACAATGTCCACACGTTACAACCGGATATAAATATTCTACTAGACTACTATTCCCTCCGTCCCATGATATAAGAAGTTTTTGTAGTGTCTAAAAACGTCTTATATTATGGAACGGAGGGAGTAGTACGTTACCTTGTGATTTACTCCTTTTGTTTCTAAATATAAGTCTTTTTAGATATTCCACTATGTGGACTATATGCGAAGCAAAATGAATGAATCTACACTTAAAATGCATATGTATACATCCATATGTGGTGCATAGTGGAATCACTGCAAAGACTTATATTTAGGAACAGAAGCAATACATGTCAATAATATTGTATCATGATCATGTTACGAGCCTGTAGCAACGCACGGGCATTCTATTAGTGTTTCCTAATTAATCAATATACTTAACAATTCTCAGCAACCTCTCTACCAGCTAATGCCTTCTTAGGCCATGTACAATGCTAGATGCTTAGGGGGGTGCTTAGAAAAATAAACCGGATTTTTCTGAACCATCGGTGCCTATTTTTAAAGGAGAGACGCCTAACTAAGCGTCTGCCATGTACAAATAAGCACCGGTGCTTAAAGAAAGTCTGGTTTATTTCTCCAAGCTGCACATTGCATTGACAAGGCCTTACTAGCCCGATATAGGTGTTGAGAGAGCCCCAAATCCCACATCCCATCACGCGTTGCTGGAGAAAACATCAGAAGTAGGCTGAGAATCTCATCGCCCGCATATGGCCATTGCCACACCACCTTCAAATTCATGTCGTCGGGAGAAGGAGGGGCGGTTGACGATGTGTTACAACCAGATCAAAATTTTCCAAATCTGCACAACACCGAAGAGATTGCTGTCATTGCAAGCGCCTCGTCATGAGACAGCTTGATCTAGCGCATGTCATGTTACCACTGGGGAAGAGGGGTTGGGAGGAAATGGGCCGGGTAATATTTTTGAAAGCCTAAAACTAAACAAGGGTTAGAAGCCATGAGACTGGCATCTCAGGTATCATGTGGTACCAAAGCCCTTCAGAGATCATCGCCTGTCGCATGGTGGATGTACCGAGGAAAGCAGTCCAATCCTCTATAAATAAAGATTGATAAGAGTTGAACAATCTTTTTCAAACCATGAAAAGCATCCGATAAATTGTATGTAACCGGAACATTCTGCGGGGAGACATAAGAGCAACTCCAACGGGGCAACCCATTTCGTCCGTCGCCGTCTGTTTGGGTCGGCGCGGACAAAAGTGGAGGCCCAACGCGTCGACCCAAACCCAAAACGCGTCCGCTTCGCATCTGCGCTGACGCATTTGCGGCCCAAATTTGCGCCCCAAATGCGTCGGTGCGGACGCGGAACGGATGCCACGCGCGCCTTCTCGATGTCCGCCGCGGCCCCATGATACATCTCCGTCGTATCTACTTTTCCAAACACTTTTGCCCTTGTTTTGGACTCTAACTTGCATCATTTGAATGGAACTAACCCAGACTGACGCTGTTTTCAGCAGAACCGCCATGGTGTTATTTTTGTGCAGAAATAAAAGTTCTCGGAGTGACCTGAAAATCCACGGAGCAACTTTTCAGAATTAATAAAAAATACTGGCGAAAGAATCAGCGTTAGGGGGGCCACACCCTGTCACGAGGGTGGGGGCGCGGCCCCTCCCCCTGGGCGTGCCCCCTGCCTCGTGGGCCCCCTGGACGTCCACCGACCTCAACTCCAACTCCATATATTCGCTCTCGTGGAGAAAAAAATCAGAGAAAAAGTTTCATCATGTTTTACGATACGGAGCCGCCGCCAAGCCCTAATCTCTCTCGGGAGGGCTGATCTCGAGTCCGTTCGGGGCTCCAAAGAGGGCGGTTTGTCACCGTCGTCATCATCAACCATCCTCCATCACCAATTCCATGATGCTCACCGCCGTGCGTGAGTAATTCCATCGTAGGCTTGCTGGACGGTGATGGATTGGATGAGATTTACCATGTAATCAAGTTAATTTTGTTAGGGCTTGATCCCTAGTATCCACTATGTTCTGATATTAATGTTGCTATGACTTTGCCATGCTTAATGCTTGTCACTAGGGCCCGAGTGCCATGATTTCAGATCTGAACCTATTATGTTTTCATGAATATATGTGAGTTCTTGATCCTATCTTGCAAGTCTATAGTCACCTATTATGTGTTATGATCCGACAACCCCGAAGTGACAATAATCGGGATACTTCTCGATGATGACCGTAGTTTGAGGAGTTCATGTATTCACTACGTGTTAATGCTTTGGTCCGGTACTCTATTAAAAGGAGGCCTTAATATCCCTTAGTTTTCACTAGGACCCCGCTGGCACGGGAGGGTAGGACAAAAGATGTGATGCAAGTTCTTTTCCATAAGCATGTATGACTATATTCGGAATACATGCCTACATTACATTAATGAACTGGAGCTAGTTCTGTGTCACCCTATGTTATAACTATTACATGACGAATCGCATCTGACATAATTATCCATCACTGATCCAATGCCTACGAGCTTTTCACATATTGTGCTTTGCTTATTTACTTTACCATTGATACTGTTACAACTACTACAAAACTGCTACCGTTATTTTTGCTACTGTTACCATCACTTCCATACTACTTTCCTACTATATACTTTGCTGCAGATACTAAGCTATCCAGGTGTGGTTGAATTGACAACTCAACAGCTAATACTTGAGAATATTCTTTGGCTCCCCTTGTGTCGAATCAATAAATTTGGGTTGAATACTCTACCCTAGAAAACTGTTGCAATCCCCGATACTTGTGGGTTATCAAGACTATTTTCTGGCGCCGTTGCCGGGGAGCATAGTTCTATTCTTTGAGTCACTTGGGATTTATATCTGCTGATTACTATGACGAACTTGAAAGACGAAATAACTAAGATTTATCCCTCAACTACGAGGGGAGGTAAGGAACTGCCATCTAGCTCTGCACTAGATTCTCCTTCTGTTATGAGTAAGCTTGCGACACCTAAACCTGCTTCTGCTATTAATTCTTATATGTCACATGTTATTGATGATGCCACTTCTACTATGCATGATACTTATGATGAAACTACTTCCGTGCTTGAAACTACTGTGCCATTAGGTGAATTTCTTGATGAACAACTTGCTAGGGTTAGAGAGAATGAAATTATTGAAAATGAAATTATTGAAGATAGTGATGATGAAGGTTCTCACCCTAAGTATGAATTGCATGTTATTCCTGAGGGTTATGTTATGGATGAAGAAACTACTAGAGATATTCTTGCTTGCAATGATAGATCTAATCTTAAGAAGTTATTAGCTAAACTGAAACAGAAATCTCTGAATGCTAGAATGAAATATGACCCTGCTTTTGCTACTTCACCTATCTTTGTTACTGATAAGGACTATGAATTCTCTGTCGATTCGGAGATAATTACTTTGGTTGAATCTGATTCTTTTTATGGCAATGAATCTGAAACTGTTGTGGCACATCTTACTAAATTGAATGATATAGCCACCCTGTTTACTAATGATGAGAAATCTCACTACTATTATATCCTTAAGATATTTTCATTCTCATTAAAGGGTGATGCTAAAACTTGGTTTAATTCTCTTGATCCTGGTTGTGTGCGTAGTCCCCAGGATATGATTTATTACTTCTCTGCTAAATATTTCCCTGCTCATAAGAAACAAGCTGCCTTAAGGGAAATATATAATTTTGTGCAAATTAAAAAAGAGAGTCTCCCACAAGCTTGGGGGAGGCTTCTCCGATTACTTAATGCTTTGCCTGATCATCCTCTTAAGAAAAATGAAATACTTGATATCTTGTATAATGGACTAACTGATGCTTCCAAGGACCACTTGGATAGTTGTGCTGGTTGTG